CTTTTAGAGGTCTAATATTTCTATTTCTGTAAATTTCAAAATTGTCACTTTAACAGATACATTGAAATTAATGAAATGTCAAATTTAATTAGAACTCATTCAGATGAAGTAACAGGCAGCAAAGCTAAGTTCATTCAAGGAATTGCATTTAGTTTTGCAAAATGTTGTGCATGTACATCTAGTAAAAAACAAATTAATGATTCAGAAGATCAACATACAAATGTATTTAGCTTTACACAGAAAACAATGACTTGAATTGCTACTCTTACATATTTACAGACTTTTGATTGAATTCATTATAATCACAGACATATTATGGCAAAAAAGCTGTACCCTCAGATTTAAACCTTTCATAGCAATAAAATCTTTTCTAACTTTCTAGTACTCAGTCCTGGTTTACTCTCAGTTAACCTACTTTTCAAGATAACTGTAGTACTGCTTTTTTATAGGGCAAAATGATGTAGTTTGATTAAGTATTTATAAATCCAAGTGTTGATCTGAATAAACATTATTAATTTTTGTCAAGAAAAGTCTGAAACAAAACAATGTTAATATGCCCAGGTGTTAAAGAATAGCACTGTAGTTATACATGTAACCTGAAAGAGCTAAAAAAAAAAAAAATAACCTGCATTTGAAGGTCAAAGTCTGTGTCCCTGTTTCCTTTTTTACTGAAAATTTACTCTGCCTTGATCCTCCTTCCTTTATATGGTTTGAATGAAAACTGTCATAGACAACCTGTATTGTTGTTTACTTGATCAGGCATCTTTATATCTTAATAAGCAGATCAAATGTATAGTATTTTTGCTTGTTAGTTTATTATCCATTATTGATCTCTTTAACATCTTTGGTATCATCTAATGTATTTTTGGCATTAACTAGATTTAATCTACACATGACAGAGAAAGGGAATATATGTAATTTTGCAATTATGAATTAATGCATTTCTATAAATCTTAGTCCTGACTTTATAGCCATAAGAATCTGAGACCATTGTTGAAAAACTGTTTGTTTGCTCTCTACGAACCAAATATCTAAATACAGTCTACCTTCAACCCTGTTCTGACCTCCAGGATTTTTTTTATCACAATTTTTTTTATCATTTTTATTAAACTTTTCTCTCATTTAATTCACTTTTTAAGATGCCTGAAAAACATTTTTTTGAATATATATACTTCTTTTTAAAAGGAGAAGTTAGAGTCCACACTGGCCAATCAGAATGCAGATAAGGAAACCATGAAATCCTTGATAGAGGAGAATGTCCGACTAAAAGGAGACATGGAAAAAATGAAAGAAGATTATGAGAAAATCAAGGATAAAGAAGCCAAAATTTCTGAAGTGGAGAAAGAAAACCAGGAGAAATCAGACAAAATCAAGAAACTTGAGGGAGACTTGGAGAAACTGAAAGCTCAGGCATCCAACGGAACGGGAGGAGAAGCCTCTGCTCAGAAGATATCAGACTTGGAGAAGAAGCTTATCCGCCTGGCAAAAGAGGACGAGGATAAAGATAAACAGATCACATCCCTCAACAAAGAGCTACAGCAAACCAGGGCAGAGCTACAGAAAAGAGAGGCACGGGCACCAGGTGAAGGAGGGAACCAGCCATCTAAGTCATGCGTCATTCTGTAGACTGTAACATTAATTTATTATGCATCAGAGGTGCTCAGGAGTAAACTCTATTCCTTTTTCTCCTTAGTTTCAAGATGGTTTTCAAGATCTGATTTTTTTTATCAGTAAGAGTCTTAATTAATGAAGACTTAAAATATAGTGATCTTGATAGAGAAATTATAGTTTTTCTTTTTACACAACAAATCATATCAAATGAATATTAATTTATAATATGTTTAATGTTTGAAAAGTCCCGTCCATTTATTTTGTGCATAAAGATTTTGAGCTCATCAAAGCGAGTGTGATTTTTGTAAGCTAGTCATTGTTACCTGTTTCTGTTAGTACATATGCACCAAATGTGATTTTTTTCCCCCAGTGCAATGGGTTAAATTCTCAAGACATTAAGAATCTGATTTTTTTTCTTTTTTCTTTTTTTTTTTTGTCACGTATCAATGATGGTATTCCAAACAATTTCTATCATTAGAACAAAATAACGTACATCAAATACATCAATTATTGGACATTTTTGTTATCTGAGCTAGTACATGTACCTGTTGTAAAATGAACTCAAAGAAGCAATTGATATACATTTACATGTGTATCTGACTTTCCTTACATTACTTTTTTTATATAATTGTGATTATTTTGGAAAAAAAAAACCTTTTTACTTTTAATGAATTTCGTCTCATTTGTTGAACCAGAGTGTGACTTTTAAAGTCTTGAATTAAAAGGAGCACATAATCCTAAATGATTAACATAATGTACTAGGTGCCAGTAAAGCAGCAGACACTCTGTATATAAACCCACTACAAAATCTATGAAATCATAATTAAAAGTAAGGACTAAAATAAAGTCTTCTGTTTGTAATGGTTCAAAAAAAATTATTTTCCCTTGGTCTGTGATATTTTAAAAGATGACCAGAGTTATTCAGTTTGTTTAGGTACTACATAACAACAATTTACCAAAAAACCAAGAGCATAAGTTTTAAATGTTTATTCAGTACCAAACTTTTCTCATAAACCATTACATTACCCCTATTTGACTTAACTGCAACAATGAGTGTGTGTGAGAGAAAGGGCGTTTGTGTGAGGGGGGTGGGGTGGAAGGAGGCTGCAACCAACTTTCAGTTAAAAGAAAAGTCTGAAAAAGGGGGGAGCAAGTCCTGCATAAATCATGAAGTGAACTCTATATATTTCTTCATGTCTATCTTGGAAGTCCATTAAAGCAATATAAATCAATAGGAGAGCAATCAGGGGCATCCAAATTATATCTGAGGATGGTATCAGGTGCCATGTAGGAGTAAGCATTCCCTGCCGATCGGACACTGTGTGCTCTTTGTCATGATAGGGAATATGCAACAATTCCTAAGCTATTCATTGTAAGCAATGGTCTAACAATATTAAAAATGTCAGTCAGCATTTGGCATAATGATAGCTTGTAATTGCTGACAATGTCACTGTATCGACCATAAAATTTTTACTTCAAACGAGACTGTTAATATCCTTGTTTTATCAAATTATTTGTCAATAGTTAAATTCGTTTAAGACTTTGTTCATACTTTTGCATATTGAATCAGTTGAGAAATATAAACCCAATATGCAGGTTGAAGGGGTATATCGCTACATAAGAAAAGATAATAGTAAAATATTTAGATATGAAACAGATTTATCAGCTTCTGTGGTAGCTTTCATTTCAAACTCACTCGGATTTAGCGAGTGGTATGAATGGAATGAGATATATATATAGATTAGTCAAGCTCAAAATGCAATTAAACAATACAAAATAGAAGCAGAGCAAATAGGACCTCCAAATCATCAGAGGTGGGATCAGCACGTGCAGGCGCCATGGAGGAGTGAGCATCCCCTGCCGACCTGTCACACCCGCCGAGTGCTTCTTGTCATGATCGGGAAATAACGGACAATCTGTCATCAATTGTGTGTATATTGCACCAGCTGAAACTTACTGCATTTTTACAGTAACCATTTCGTATATTTCCGCACGAAAAACAGACCATGGTGAGTATATGAGTATATATGTCAACAATCTTCTTGGGCCATTTTATGCACTTGAGGTACAGTGTATACACATTGTTTTCAATATTTACACAAGATATTCTTGCAATCTTGTAACATTTTGTGAAAGTTAAATGGGGTCTGACTTTTACACTGCCTAAGTGAGGACTATGGCAACAACGAGTGTGTAGTTGCTTGTAAATTTCCCCCCATACACGTAGAACGTCTTAATTGTCGTCAGAACAGAAAGGATCTGGAATGGTTTTCAACCAACCGTGACGATGACGTTGACGCGTAACAGAGTTTAATCGCCACCTTAGTACCACCAAAATGCTATTGATACAATAGGAAATCATAATCATAACATTCACCTTAAAATTGAAAGAAACCGGATTTCGATTTTTTGAGCTGTACATTGTACATATAGTCGTCGGTAGCAAATTGAAAGTGACACCCCCCTCAAAGGCAAGTCCCGATTTTCAATGCCTATATATTTTTGCAAAACATTTGAGTTCCTAGGGACTCCCCCCCCCCCCATACCGGTCTTGTAGAGTAGGCTTTCCCCCCTAAAATCTTTCCCCCCGGAAAACTGGCTCTAGAGTAGACTTTCCCCCCGGAAAACTGGCTCTAGAGTAGGATTTCCCCCCAGGAAAACTGGCTCTAGAGTAGGACTTCCCCTACGGAAATCCTACACCAGAGTCAATTTTCCGGGGGGTAATCCTACTCTGGGTTGTAGTTATAGAGTGCGATTTCACCCAGAGCCAATTTTCCCCCCAATGAAATATAATTTAAGGACAGATGACACAAACAAACCTTGAAAATTACTATTTAAGTCCTATTTTAATAAGTTTCACAAAAAGTTTCACAAAAATGGGATTTAAAGAGATGTAATACCGGTATGACCACAAAAATGTATAGATTAATAGGGATGTTTACAGAGAGGTGAATTTTTGAAGTTTACAATTTTTTTTAAATATTTTAGAAATGTTATTATAATTGTAATAATTTACAAACAAAATAGGTCCAAAAATATATACCAATCCAGATATCCATTTTTTTTTTTTGTTTCATTATGTTTTGAGGATATTTACATTTCTTTTGAAATCTATATACATGTATTTTGGTTGAGATACCATGATTTGCCTTATATTTCGTTAAAAAAGCACTAATTTACCTTTTAAAAATCAGTTTCTCGTTTGTTTTTTTTCTTCACAAAAACACTGCGGCTGTGGTTTATATTGACTCTATAACGAGGGGGGAAATCCTACTCTGAGAGAGAAAGAGGGGGAAACTCGGCTCTGGTGTGATTTCCCCCCGGGGGAAATCCTACTCTAGAGTACGATTTCCGGGGGGAAAGCTGGCTATGGGGGAAATCCTACTCTACAACACCGGTACCGATGCTTATGCTACACACAAATATAATATGTATTTGCATAACTGGTATGACGTTGAAAACTTTCAATAAATTTTAGTTTGCATATAAAATGCATGCATACTGCAAAAATGAAGTAAAACATTTCAGAGAGATAGAATTTTCAAAGTATGGAAAAATCTAAATTTTTCAAAGTGCGTAATTTTTCAAAGTGCGTTGTAATAGGGGTATCGTCATAAAAATTTCAATAATTCATTGTGAGGCAAAATGAAATGAGATTTTGGTTACATTCACTGAAGATAGTTTTAAACGTTTCATGTTTCTGGGTTTTCTGGAGTTAAGGCTAAATTCTTTTGATTATAAAGTGAAGTACAATTTCTTTGAAAAATTCTTTTCTGCTTATCATGAGTTTCAAGCAAACAAGGTTTGGATTGAAAAAATTGGAGAAAACGAACAGTTTTCTAGCTCAAAAACAATTCAAACAACATGCACGAATCTGGAGCAGAGCAAACAGAAACCTCTGAAAGATCAGAGGTGGGATAAGATGCCAAGGAGAAGTGAGCATCTCCTGCTTACCGGTCACACCCATCGTGTGCCTCTTGTCTGGAGTACCCGTCGACAATTAGTGTGTAAATAATAGTCTTGTATCAATTGAAAAACATCAGAAATTTAAAAAAAAAAACGCATGCAGGTAAAATGGGTATATAAATCGCTGCATAAGGAAGGGACTAGAACTTACTAATGTTTATTGATAATACATCGTCAATATATATCTAAATGTCGTGCTGAAGGCCACAGCGAGTGTTTTCTTCTACCATGTTTAAGATTTTGAATAAATTCTGCTTCGTATGAATACTAAATATGTTAGCTAATAATGGCGCATGCTTCCTGGTGTTTTTTGGTGATTGTATGAAGCTTCTGTCCTCTACAAAAAATTGATTTGTTTTATTAAAATTTGTCATATACAAATTTTAATTAAAATTCAATCTTTTATAGAGGACACTTCGTTTATCACAAAGGTAAATGCTTAAATATTCAATTTTTTGCCCCGAGCAATTGGTTAACAAGTCGCACCATTATGTTGAGAAATGGTGTCTCTTCCCAAATTCTGAAATTCATATCTCTTGGCAAAGGGCGTTGGTGATAATACCAAAGAACTACAATTTGATTTTTTTTATCAGTAGAGCCCAGTCTGGCACCAAACACCAAAAACAGTCTTTCTTACATATATTTTTAGCATTCATATTATAAATTCATCAACATCAAATGTAAAACCGAAAATCACCTTATTTGCAAATCTTTTTACTTTAATTTTTTATAAAAAATGCAAAAATTCTAATAAAATAATTTCATAGTCAATACTGATCTTTCAATGCTGAAACAATAGTTCAAAAGGGATGTCTTAAAGATCTATAAATTAAAGTTCTGACGTCGCCTTGAATCCGCGCCCTGCAATGAACCACAGTTGCGGGTGACGTACAGCTCTGTATATTCAAAAAGTATATAAAGGGGTCATGTAAACTCAAACATTGTGTGAACAAAAACTGGCTCCCTTTGAGTAGGACATCATGCATATTTCAAAGGGACCAGTAACGCAATATGTTTGATTTTACGATTACTTTTTGTTTACATGTATAGTGATCATAATACGTTACTGGTATGTGTTTTGTACGTGTCTAAAGAGGTATAACCGTTGCAGACTGCAAGTGATTTTTAAAGAGTTGTAGTCCATCCGCAGATTGGGTAAGGGAGGGGCTGAGACAGTCTGGACACATCAAGGAATTTATAAAAACAAATTCCACTGTAAAAGTAAAACAAGTACATGTACCTCTTGCGAACTGGAAAAGAGAATAGATACCGGTATGAAAAATATAACTCTAGAAGGTTTAAGTAAAATACCTTATGAGTTTTTTTTTTACATGTACAAGACTATATCTCACTGAAGCTCAGCTTGAGCCAGGCTACAGACTTTCTTCGTGTTCGGCTTAGACCTTAAGGCTTCCTATACCTCTGCATACTTCTCAGTAAAAAAAACCTT